AACACGAGTTAAAATATCAGTAAACAGATTTTCAGTTTCCTGCTGGTTTTTATCATGAAATGGTTTCAAGTTGTTTTCAGTGCGGCATAAAAAGGTGGAATTCCTAATAATCCTAATAGCAACTCAAGGAGACATCTTAAGTACCTCATTTTATTTAAACCAAAGATTAAATCTCATGTATGTATAAATAAATAAAAGAAGGAAAATACCGTAGTTAGTTCTGACATGGTAGAAGAAAAGAAAATTTGTACTTAAGCTCAAAAACTGGGTGGAATTAAACTGGCACGGATCAAAAAGTGTATATTCTTCTTCTCTCTACTTTTGTGCTTGATGGTTCTTTCTTACCGTTCTCTTGTTCCTCTCCAGGTCCAATCAGCAGCATCCTCGTGAATAAATTCGGCAGCCGACCGATCATCATCCTCGGCGGTTGTCTGTCAGGGTCTGGTCTGGTTGCAGCTTCTTTTTGCAACACGGTGCAGCAGCTGTACTTCTTCATTGGAGTAATTGGAGGTTTGTTTTTCATCAGTTTTCTTGAGTAAATCCTCAAAATGAGGGAAATCTGGACATTTTCTTTTGATGGCTGAGTTTTGTTTTCTTGTTAATGTTGTTTCTGTGCCCTCGTTTCCAGGTTTGGGACTGGCCTTCAACTTGAATCCGGCGCTCACTATGATCGGTAAATACTTCTACAAGCGCCGGCCCATCGCCAACGGCCTCGCCATGGCGGGCAGCCCCGTGTTTCTGTCGACCTTGGCTCCCTTCAACTCCTGGCTGTACGATGAGTTCGGGTGGAGAGGCAGCTTCCTCATCCTCGGTGGACTCCTGCTCAATTGCTGCGTGGCCGGCTCGCTAATGCGTCCCATCGGCCCCAAACCTCAGCCGCCCAAAGTGGAGGCGGTGGAAGCAGGGCAGCCTCAGCCCAAGAGGACGGTGCTGCAGAAAATCAACTCCTTCATCGACTTGACGCTCTTCAAGCACCGCGGCTTCCTGCTCTACCTGCTGGGCAACTTCGTCATGTTCTTTGGTCTCTTTTCTCCGCTCGTCTTCCTCTCCAATTACGCAAAGAGTAAGGACATCAGCAAAGAAAAGGCGGCCTTCCTTCTGTCAGTGCTGGCGTCCATCGACATGTTTGCTCGGCCCTCAATGGGCTTTCTGGCGAACACCAAATGGGTCCGGCCCAGGATCCAGTACTACTTTGCTGCATCCGTCCTGTACAACGGTGTGTGTCACGTGCTGGCGCCGATTTCAAAAGACTACTCGGGATTTGTGGTCTACGCCATCTTCTTTGGCTTTGGTTTTGGCTGGCTGAGTTCTGTGCTGTTTGAGACGCTGATGGACCTGGTGGGGGCTCAGAGGTTTTCTTCAGCTGTAGGTTTGGTCACCATCGTGGAGTGTGGGCCGGTGCTGTTGGGCCCACCACTGACAGGTAAGACATCCCAGGGAGAGGGAGGGTGGAGATTTGGGCTGGTTATAAAACTTGACGTCAAAGATTATCGGTGTAATAATTGTTAAAATGTTGACGCAGATCAAAAAATCTGAATCTCCTTTCTTTTGCCCACCTCCAGGCACCTTCTATAACTACTACCAACACTATGACTTCACCTACATCACCTGCGGCATCGTCCTCATCATAGGAAGCATCTTCCTCTTTGTGGGAATGGGCATCAACTACCACATGTTAGACCGAGAAAAGAAAGCGGAGGAGCAAAAAGAGAGGGAGGAGCCCAAAGAGGAGCGTGCTGCCATGCTGCCGCCTTCTTCTCCAGCAAAATCGAGCGAGGATGGCGTACCAGCAGCTGTCACAATGGACGAAGTCTCCAGGATGGATGAGGACACAGTGTAAACGGACAAACTTGGGAAGAAATGAACACGCACGAGAGCTGCAGTTACAACCACACAGCATCTTTATAGAGAATAATCCCTTTTTACACCACCCTGAAGCCATAGAAACCGCTCCATGATTAAAACCAGAGGCCTGCTGCGGTGACGCTGATGTGAATCTGCGCTCGGCCTAATTCAGACCTCCGGTTTTTGGTCTTTGACGTGCCTTTTTGGTGAACCGAGAGCGTTCCAGGCGGTGCTGCTTGCATAAACACCAGATAGACGCACAGCAGACGGAGTGACTGTAACCATCCCGGAAAGTAACGAGGACTTTGTCTCAGGGTCTCAAGCTGTCACAAAGGTTCAGGGCCTCGTGCGCACACTTTTTAACTTTTTTTTTTTTTTTAATAAGTCACCATACATGTTACAATACAGAAAGTTCTCCCTCGTGTTCTGCACAATCACTTCACTGCTCAAGGGCTGGATGTAAGCGCTCGCATCCACATTGTTAATCATAATATTAGTTAGAATTTTTTTTTAATTAATTAAAAAAATATGGGGTAAAAAGTAGTTCACTACAACACAGGGAAAAGTTAAGGTTCTTGTTTTTAACATTTTAGGAATGTAGAATAACAAATATCAGTTTTCCTGTTTGTGGAAAATCAGGAAGCTGTAATGTAGGAATCTGCTGAGCGGTATGAAACTAGGTCAGGATGCAGGTATGGAGGCAGAAATGTGGAATTTCAGAGCAGCTCTGATCTTTTATTGAACTGATGAAGATTATGAACATCATCGGAACAGGTCACACAGACGGGCTCCAACCCTGCTGATGCATCCACCACGTGAGCTGCAGGCTGGGTTGGGTAATAAACGGCACCACACGTTGGTGCATGTGAGGGGGTGAAGCTGTGGGGAGTAGATGGATGGTTGGGTGGCTTCTGTGTGCTCTGAACATTGTTACAAAAATGTTTTTTTTTTATGTAATTTTTGGGGCGCAGAACAGCACATTTGTGGTATTTGAATAGTGAAAACGGTTTAGTTCAGTTTCTACAAATCCCTACAAAAAAAGTAAAATATTTTAGCTTTCAGGAAACGACAATCTAACGAGGTCCTTTTTATAGAGTTTAATGTATTTGGATCAGTGGCGACGTGAGTGAGTGAGGCGTGTTTGTGTTCCAGCAGGTAGTTTTAAAGTTTGGGGGGATTTTGTCATTTCATTCATTGTAAGTTCAGTCAGTTTGTGAAGTGTACAGAATTACTCATATCAGGAGGACAGATTTAACCGGGCGAATTAACGGGGCTGAAAGCTGAGAACGTTTAAAGAACCCTGTTGGGAGAGGGACTAACACGGTTATCATCTTTGTTTTCATCACGTTGAGAGTAACAGAAATATTGCACATGACCAGCTTTAGAATCGGATAAAGTCCCTGCCCACATGAGACGTTTCCACGGTCGCCCGAGCATTTCCTTCCTCACAGAGGAAAGCTTCCGATTGGGCGACAGATTTTACATTTCCCTTTCAGTAGGAATGGATACTTATTATGTTATTATGTATTTTGGTGACTAAATATGACCAAATGTTAGTATTCAAAGTGATTAATTACAAAGTGTGAATTTGTTTCTTCATGTGTATTTTTGTAAAGGTACTACTGGTACCAATGGGGAAACTGGTCTCTCTCCTCGCTGAAGTATCCACCTGTTCAACAGGTTCATATTTCAGGGGAAAGAGCATCTGCTGCATCGGTACGGCCACATTCGACTGCTCCAAACCCTGATTTTTTTTTCTCCGTTAAAAAATAAATAAAAACAAAAAACTGACCTTCATGAACTTGTTGGTAATCGATAAACTGTTATTCTAGGTTTTATTTTCTGAATTATGGTCATTTCAAATTGAAAGTTGTTCTACTTTCAGGATGAGCGTTTTGTGAAGTGACACACTGAAAGGAGGCGATACTGTTTCATTTAAACTGGGTTTTAAAACGGTATTATAATAGTCGACTTTTTTAGTGTTTTTATAAAGCGGACAAAACTTTAGTTTCTGTAATATTTTTTCTTTTAGTTGCTGTGGATTTTTTTATGCGTGTTCTTATTATTTTGAGTGTTGAGAATAAACAGTTTTTAAAATGAAACCTGTTGTATTGATTCTGTAACTTAAAAATAAAGCTTTTTTTTTTTTTTTCAAAATTAGCAGAAAAACTGTACATTTACAGTCATTACACATGTCTAACATTTTTATATAAAACTTAAATTCTTGCACTCAAATCCTGAAAAGGAGGCATCTCTATATACCTGAAGCTACCACAGCAAGCAAATACTTACAGAAGCTTGACGAGAGAGAAACGTGAAACTCGATGACAAATTCACACTCGCTGGACATTTCATTAGGTACACCTTGCTAGTACAGGGTTAGACTTCCTTGATTCTTCATGGCACATCTGTTATCTGTTGGCTTGAGATCAAGGGGGACATACAAATCCAAGAAACCAGTTTCAGATGATTTGAGTTCTATGATGTGTTATCCTGCTGGATGCAACCATCAGACATAGAAGGGTCGGACAGCACCAATCTGTGTGTATGCTGCGGTGTTTAAACAACGCTCATTTGGTGCCACGTGGCAAAAGGCATGCCAGAATATATCCTCCACACCAGCAGCTCGGCCTGCTGGTGTAAGGTGGGATGGATTCGTGCTCGTTCACTCCAAATTCTGACCCCTACCATGTGAAGGTTTTTCTAATTTTCCATTATCCAATTTTGGAGAGCATGTGTAAATTAGTCTCAGTTTCCTGTTCTTAGCTGAGAGGAGGGGCACCCAGCGTGCTTTTCTGCTGCTGCAGCCCATCTGCTGTAAGGCTTAACATGTTGTGCATTTAAAGATGCTCTTTTGCCTCTTTTACTTTTACATACTTTGGTTATAGCCAGGAGTTATGAGTTATTGTATAGTTTGGCTTTTTTCCACCCAGAGAATCACTGCTCACTGGATATGTTCTCTTTCTTAACAGCTCTGTAAACTCCAGAGATGGGTGTGTGTGTGTGTGTGTGTGTGTGTGTGGGTGGGTGGGTGTGTGGGTGGGTGGGTGGAAATCCCAGCAGATCAACAGTTTCTGAAAGACCAGCCTGTCTGGCACCAACAATCACACCTTTTCCAAAATCACTTAAATTACTTGTTGTGATTCTCGGTTTGAACTTCAGCTGGTTGTCTCAACGTGGTGCTTTCAGTCGTGCAGACAAAGTTATTTGATTGGCTGATTTAAGAATTTGCACTGGTGTACCTAATGAAATGGAATGAGTGCATAGCTCTAACATTCAGATTTAACAAACACGACCCAGAAATGAGCCTCACAGGTGCTGGAAGATGGATTTTTGTAGTCTTTGGAGAGACTCGTGGTTTCCATGGTGTCATGGAGGGTGTGTGAGTGATACACACAGTTACATTTTTGTTTTAGAATTTTTTTCCACATATTTCTATTGTAATAAAAATCCTCGCTCCACTCACCCCTGTTCATTTTCAGCGCCCCTTCACATGGGTTCACTCGGGTCTCATTTTAAAAGTTCAACTAATATTTCCTTAAACATCAGCCGACTCAGCTGTGCCATTGAGAGGGAGTTGCCCTTCATCGTGTCCAGTGTTCAGTTGGAGGTGTGCGTGATGGTGGAGTCGTTTGTTTCGGAAGCTCGGCGCCGAGTGTGCGGCCGACAGTGAAGCAGCAGACGAAGCTCCGGGGAGACGCTGCTGGAGAAGGCGGAGTAGATCCAGGGGTTGGTGCAGGAGTTTAGACTGGCCAACAGCATCAGCAGGGTAAACGCTACACCTGTGTACACACACAGGAGGAGGAGGAGGTCCGTAAATGGCACAGGGGACTGCAGATCAGGCCATCAAGTCAAACTCTGCTTCAGGGTGGTATCTTTGGTAGCCCTAAAGGTACTTATTGTAGTCTTGTATATAAAAGTTTATTAGAGAGTTTTAAAGTTAACACAATGACTTCATGTCTAAGGCATCTTTGTGTTGTACAGTTTGGACCCTGCACCAGCTGTCACAGGATGAGAGGCGGAGAAACACCCTGACAGATTACTGCTCCATTTAAATTGGGTTAAAGGTATTAATGTAAAGTTATTTAATTTTTTTTAGGGAAGTAGAGAACAAAAAAATCCTTAAAATTACATCAAGTTGGTCTGGCAGGACTGTGTGTGTGTGTGTGTGTGTGTGTGTATACCGTTCTGAGGTGGGTCAGGGTCCCAGGCGGCCCAGAGCTGGACGCTGAAGAACGGGGCCCAGCAGAGCGAGTACACAAGCACAATGACCAGCGTCATCCTCACCGTCTTTGACATGGCTGCTGTTACCTCTCCACCTCTGACAGGAGGCAGTTTGGTGGGGTGTGGTGAGCAGGCAGCAGAGGGCGGTGTTGGATCTGGTGGGACGCCGGCTTGCAGCTGAGCTGACGAGGAGGACAAAAACATTCCTGTGACGCTCACTCTCCCTGAATTTCCTCATTTCATGAGTTAAGACCATAAATATGGTTACATTTTTATTTATTAATTTTTTATATATAACTTTTTGATTGTAGTAAAAGCACATATTAGCTAATTTCAGGCATGAGATGAGGAGCATACTCCAGATCTTAGTCACCTTCTACCACCACATTGCTTTAGGAGTAAGACTGCAATAAGTCAAGTGCCTGAAGCATGATCAGAAATGGGTGAAGAGTTTTTATGGAAAGTTTAGTTTACCTGAGCAGCACCAACATGTCAACCATAACTGCTGACTGAGAAACTGAAGAACAGTGCACACTCCTAGGTGGTGACGTACCAGTCATGTGGTAAAACACTCCATAATTCATATTCATAATTAACTGTCTGCAGACCAGTGAGGACCATAATTTACCAAATGAGCATCATGTTGATTTCAACAGGACTGAAGAGCTGTGACTGAGAGCCTAAACTAATCAGGAAACATGAGTCAGCATGAGGGTTGTTTCTCCATAAGCTTCTTTACAGACTGTTGTCCTTTACCAACTACAGCAGTCGACCACTGCTGGCCATTATAAACTATTGCAGGTTTAAGGCTTATAGATACGTCCATCTCAAGGCTCAGTGTAGGATAAATAAGCATTATTATCATTATTGAATCATGCAAAGCTACTGTAGAGTCCAAGAATGATCACCCATCGGGAGGTGCTGATAGGTGGACACAGGGTCCAAACTGCAGTCATTCCCAGGGTTGTTGTACACGAGGGGGGAAACATAGAAGGGGACATTAGACTTTCCTTCTCCTCCTCCTCTTTTTCCTCTCTGGGTTTCTTTTCTTAATTGAGGGAGAGCAGCGGGGGACAGGCGGCAGTCTGATTTCAGGTACAGATTGTTATGAATCTCCTTGAAGATTCGCACCTAAAGGAAGAAAGACGAGAGAGGGTAAATTTTTGTTTCCAGAAGCATCTTGTCTTCTGGTTCTCTCTGTTCTACCTGGCAGATGGTGATGATCAGAACGGGGAGGATGAAGATGGCTAGCGTCATCCACGTCACGTAGGCTTTGAGGCCCCAGGACTCGGCAAAATTGCCCCAACATTCATACACACCTGGAGCCAACTCAGAACGGGAAAAGATAAAGACCTGCAAACCAGCAAAGAGATGAGTGGAGGTGATGGTAACAGCAAACAGTCTGATTTTGTGTTTGTGCTCTCTTCTATAAGATTTTAATTGGCACGGTGCTTATTTACGACTTCGTGTTTTAACGTGATAAAAGTGTTGGTTGGAAATGTGACAAAATGGGACACTACCTCTGTTTATGTGTTCTTATCTTCAAAGTTAAAGGCAAACATATGTGAATTTGATGATAGGCCTTTAAAGTAACAGCTTAAGACCAGAATGATGCCCCTGTCCTTTCTTTGACTATCACCTTGTTTTCTTCTCTTTTTAATGTTAATTTTAAGAGCCTAACGCTAATCAGAACCTAAGTTATGCATCTCAGGAGCAGATCTGTGGCCAGCCTCTTTGGCATACCTGTGGCAGGCTGAGCAGCAGCGACAGTACCCAGGCCAGCACGATGAAGCTGTTCCAGCGCTTCGTGGCCCCGCTGCGATGTGCCTGCAGGGGGCAGCAGATAGCATAGTGGCGATCCACTGTCATGGCCACGATGATGTAGGAGGAGGCAAACATTCCAAGAACCTGAAGGTACTTCACCAGGCGACATAAGAAGTCAGGACCAGGAAAGCGTCCCTTAGCGTCCCACACGAGCTGGGGCAACACCTCAGAGAGGAAGAGGAGAGGGAGGAAGGATATATGCTTTTGAAGTAACATGTCGCAATATATTTTCTCTGTGGAGAGTTGTGGTATATGATGCACAAATTTTATGCACACACACGTGCACACAAACACACACAGACATTTGTGCATATTAAAAATCTCGAGGTACAGATTAGTGTGCTCATTCATAAATCCCAGAGCACATTTACATATTCCAGTTCAAATTTACAGATTAATGCAAAAACTGAAAGACTTCTGTGCACTTTTCTGAATTTGCATGTACATTTAAAATCTCAAATTTGTGTACAAAATACAAAAAAAAACAAAAAAAAAAAAATCAATGAAAAATTCCAAGTATTTGTGCACATAATAATGGATTGGATTTATATAGCGCTTTTCAAGGCACCCAAAGCGCTTTACACTATTCATTCACTCTCACATTCACACACTGGTGGAGGCAAGCTACGGTTGTAGCCACAGCTGCCCGGGGGTAGACTGACAGGGGCGGGGCTGCCATATCGCGCCATCGGCCCCTCTGGCCAACACCAGTAGGCGGTAGGGTAAAGTGTCTTGCCCAAGGACACAACCACCAGGACAGAGAGCCCGGGGATCAAACCGGCGACCTTCCAGTTACAGATACGCTTCCCAACCCCCTGAGCCACGGTCGCCCCACATAATAGATTCATGTGCACTTTTACCCCAGTTTAGTTCACATTTACATGTAGGTGTGCATATTTGGAAACCTGTGAAGACATTTGCTGACTTCAGTGTGTTTATGTCTTTTTCCAGATTTATGTATTTGTTTACAAACTGTAAAAAAAAGATCACATTTCCAGATTATTGTATCTGCACATATTTTCAGATAATACTACAATTACACACCTGTATAACACACATATAACCCACAACGTGAATGAGTGTTTGCTACCTGGAACAGCGCCACCACCAGGTCAGCCACACAAAGGTTCAGCATGAACTGGTGCAGGGGGTTGTGGTGTCGCCTTCGTCTTAGCAACACCACCAGGACCAGCCCGTTGCCAAGTAACGCCATCACTAAGATGACCGCCAGCACCACCACCTCGGCCACGGCCAGCAGGGCGTCTCGTTCCCGCTCTGTAGCATTAGCACCGGTGGGGGTCTCAGAGACCGCCGGCCGGTCGATGGACGTATACGTGTCTGTTATCACAGAAACGGACATGCTGGCTGGGACAGGAGGGGAACACCACAGAAAGACAAGACGATGACATCGTTATGAAGGAAAACTGTGAAACAAACGTTAATCTTTCCTGGTCCATCTTTTGTATACAGGTGATTATTATTACGTTTTAGAAAGTTTAATACAAGCACCTCAAAAGGGGGTTGAAGTACAGCACTCAAGTTCATTTAAAATCTATTTATTGATTCAATTTTTTCTTAATTTGATGTATTTTCAGTCACTATAAAAAGTTTATTGTTAAATTCTTAGAATCAGGTGCAGCTTTGGTGGAAATCCCTAACTGCCTGTAAGTTTGTAATGATGCTCACTGGAGACTGGCCAAACAACAGGACTTCATTACTGCCTTCACATTTGGTCTGATGAGCCCTGTGGGCTCTATGATTGTGTGTCTGCGTGTGTGCACTGAACTGTAAAAACTGCCGAGTGTCTTTGTTTGTGATTCTTGAAGCCCTCCACCCCTTTATTTGTTTGTTTAGGGAAGAAGTGTTGATCTCTTTTTAGTTCACGGGACACAAAAAGACCAATTTGATCCCAAATGGGCCAGACAAATGGCACTGTTGTATAAGATCCTATAAAAACATTTGAAAATGTTCCCTTTCTTTTTCTGTCAGATGCACTGTTTGTTTCTTTTTCCTTTTTCCTTCTTTTCAATTCTTTCAGTTATTGTACTCATTACATCCATTTTCCCCAAATTCTTTGAGTATTTATTTGAAATAATCACTAATCTAAATAACATCCAAAACAGGTTTTTTTTTTAAATCATTTATGAAGTTTATGCATTTATTCAATAAAGAGCTAATCTGTTTGATTTTCCTTGGTGTTCAGGCTGCTACTCTATTCTTTACATCACTTCCTCTTTCCCATCAAACTCAGTATCAACATCATTACTGTAGGCCAATCATTTTCTCTTCCTCCTTTTACCCAATCAGCCTCTCTTCTTTGCGGTTTAAAGCTCCGTGCTCTTCTGTTATTTGCCTTTCTGACTTGCTTCCTCCTTATCCAAGCCTCCTTTGCCATCTTCATCACCACCAGCACATATCATGTAGATTCTGAGCACCGGGGCAGTCTAATTTATTCTGTATGTGAATAAATCCCCTCTCCTGAACTATTGCTAAACCCTACATGGAAGTGGCTGGTAAAGGTAGACTTAAGCAGCTTCCCAGCAAACCCAAAGCAAAGTTGGACCTACAAAATCCAAGTGTGCAAAGAGCTGTTCAAGTGTCCTAAGAACCTCTGGCCAAGTCTGATTTTTACAGGCCCATTTCTGCATAGTTTTCATTGTTTTAAGTGCTTCTGTAGTCAGGTGAGTGTGACAGACATCAGTAGATGCATGCAGCATTTGCAGACATAAAAACACTTCTTAGTCTCAGACAACAAATTTCTTTGGGCAGTAGAAAAAGAAAGCTTCGTCTTGGTTGAGGTTATAGCATGGTCTACCCACTGACTCGCTAGAAGTTACCATGGATAATGATGACCTCACACCTGGGTCATGAGTCATCTCATCCATATGCCTCCAGTGTTCTGTTTTATCTTGAACTGTTAATCCATTTTTGAAAGTCTATAGGTCCTAATTCAGTTCCCGGTGCAACTCCACACATGGCATTCAAAATCAGACAGATGTCCTGCTTGGTCATGAAATCAGATCCAAGTCCAAGTTTGAGGAGGCACCAAACTGCCCGTGAAGTGCACACTGATGCTGGAACATCCAAGGACGTTCGCACCGTACACCAGGGGCTCAAACTCCAGTCCTCGAGGGCCAGTGTCCTGCAACTTTTCCATGTGTCACCTGAATAAAATTAGTAGGTCATTAGCAAGAGTATAGAACTTGACTGCATGCTGAAGTGGCAACCCCTAACCCTACTCAAGTAAATTTAAGTAAATGTAAGTGTTTGGAAAGATATACTTCTCAAAGTATTTTTATTGCATCATGTTCATTCACACATGAGCTGCTGTAACATGAATCAAATGGCTGAATGTTCACCTCAGCATGCAGTCAGGTTCTATAGTCTTGCTAATGACCTACTAATTGTATTCAGGTATGTTGCAACAGGGACAAATGGAAAAGTTGCAGGACACTGGCCCTCGAGGACCGGAGTTTGACACCCCTGGTCTACACAGAGCTGATGCGTTTGCTTGTGTTTTCAAAACTGGATTAGGTCAGGATTTGGATTAAACGCAGCAAACTGCTCGCATACTTTGATGATCTGAGCTCCTAATGAGGTCGTTCTAAGTTCATCCACGTTTGGAGTCAAACACTTTGGTATGCGGATAACAATGCAACATACTTCTGATTGCTTACTAAAAAGCAGCTCGTCGCAGGAGGATGTCACACGTTTTAAATGCCTTTAATCAAGCTGTCATCAAATATAAATCCAGTCAAACCTTCATCGTCATTTGCATGCTAGAGCTTATAACTGCGTTTGTCGATGGCACCGTGAACCGTTCACAATGATTCCTGGAAGAGTCCATGCAGTGATAACGTCTGTTTTTAATGCAGTGCTGTCGGAGGACCCATCACAGGCATACCTGCCAACCTCGTCCTTTGTGCACAGAGATTTCTCGAGATTCTCAGATTTTTTTGATGATATCACATACTGTAGATGATGAGTATTCAGAGTTTTCACAATATTACATTGATGAACATTATTCAGAAATAGATCATTTTCCCATCAAACAGTCAATGTTAGTTGTTGCCATTTTACCTAATTACTTGAAAAGTGATTCTCCGGTTGTTAAAAGTACCACTTTTCCAGCCTTTTAAACACCTGCCTCAACATTTTTGAGATGTGTTAATGTCACCAAATTTAAAAGGATTTTTTTTTAAATGCTGTCAGATTTCTCAGATTAAACATTTGATATGTTTTCTGTGCTCTATTGTGAATAAAATGCAGGTTTGTGACATTTGCACATCATTGCAGTCCGTTTTGTTTACATTTTAAACATCATCTTTTTTAAATTCAGTTTGTACAAAAACAGCTAAAGGGATTTGCCAGTGAATCATCTGAACTAGCAGCTGCTTTAAAAATCATTTGAGGTGATCATGGCCGAGTTTCTGATTTAATCCCAATTTTTACAATAAAAGAATCAGCAGATAAATTATTGATTTAAAAAAAACAAACAATCATTAGCAGACAGAAAATGATTTAAATGAACTCCAACAGTAAAACCTTGCATGGATACAGTAATATTAATAATTTATTATATGATATATACTTTAACAGATTTTTAACTTCATCCTCCAGTAGTTATATAATAAAAAACTGCAGCAGTTAAAACTCATTCACAAAATGCTAATTAAATGTCAAAACTAAAGAAAAGTCATCAGATCTCTTTTGTGTTTCCTCTTTTTCTATCTTTTTGTTGAAATTATTGCCAAGTCTGACAGAAAGAAACACTTCAGGATGTAAATGTTAGAGTCTGCAGGTGAGAAAGTATTTTTCATTCAGCCAGAGGTGTCTGCGCAGGAGCTAAATACAGGAGTCACTCCAGTATCTGTTTAAATAAACTGAACAGCCGAGACTGATGACGAAGGCTAGACGCCTGCTTTATATTGAAGGTTATTTGCCTATTGCTTTGCAAAAATGGCAAAGCTAAAGCTAAAATCATCAGTTTTCTTTAGTCTTTTCTGTTTTATTTTTAAGCTTCAGTTTGAACATCATGAATTTCAGTCGGAAGAGGAGAAAATATTTTCCAGTCAGCCGGAGGTGTCAGGTTGGAAGCACTAGAGATGAACAGTGAATTCCCTCCAGCCCACGGAGCTGAGTTTGTTGACACCTTTCAGCTCCTTTAATCCTATTAGAAAGCTGGACACCTGCTGCTTTACACATAATTTGCTTTGCAGAAGCCGTAAAGCTAAAAATCAATTCAGTTTGCTCGTTTTTTGCAATCCTCTACCGCTTTTGATTAAAAAAAAACCCTAAAGAGCATGAAACAGGAGGTTTAAAGTGCCTGACTAAAATTAACATCTATCTGTACAGATTTTAATTTCCCATTTTCATGAAAAACAGGAAAATCATAGGGAAATACGAGGAGACGGAGCCGACTCACCTCCTCCTCAGCGTCCCGTGAAGCATCTGTAGGAGCCAGGACAACCTGATCTGCTGTTGCACACACTAGCTGCATCCATGCTGTGTCTGCTGCATGTGTCTGTGTGCGTTTGTGTGCTTATTACACTGATGGTGACCTCTGCCAACTCGCTCTGCTGTTTCTCCTCTCTCTCCTCTTTAGCACATCCCTCTCTCTCTCTCGCCTTTCTGGATTTTATGAAAGTGGAAGAAGAAGAGGAGGAGTGAGGGAGAGGGTGATGAAAGGACGCAGTGCCCGGGCAGTGTTTGCGAATTAATGTGATTTCCTGTTGATTATTGATATTAAACATGTGGCTGTTGGCCCTGCTTTTGATCCACCCTTCAGAGCAGATCATGGGGAACACACACCAGCAGATGAAATGAGATTTTCTCTATTAGGCTTCCAGAAATGATCAAAGACCCTTCATACGCGCAAACTAATATGCGTACGTGTGAGTTTGCATCAGCGGGTGGTCGAGAGGGGTGTGAACAGGCGGGCAGAGAGAGTGTCAGATGTTGTGACAGATGGGAGCTCAGGTTTTTGGAGAGAAATGAGAAGGCAGCAGCAACAGAAGGAGACTTGTCTTTCTCAGCAACCTTTTTCCCTCTCACCCCTGCTCCACTGTTTTCCCTTCTTCTGCATCTCGCTGTCCTGCATTCCAGTTTCCTCTCCCGCTCTCATTCCTTCTCCCTCTGACGGGGCGGTAATCTGCTTGCTTCCCCTCGATTGCTCCCTCATTTGGAGAGGCCTCTAATTATCGAGGGGCCCGCAGAGCAACCTTAAACATACACACAGAAACAGTCGAGCGCGAGGCTCATTGCTGCTCCGCCATTTGTGTATAAACGACTTTCTTATGTCTGTTAAGCATTAAGCATGAACACCAGGCTTCAATTAGTTTTAGTTTAAGTGTGAATTGTTGATTTTTTTAGCTGCACGGCAGTCAAAAAAAAGACTTTTGTTTTGGTCAGCAAATCCCTTCATTACCCGCTGTGCTCTGTTCCTACTGAAGAAACGTATCCTTTTAAGGCAGGTCATGCATACTGATGTCTCGCAGCTTGTGTCAGTGTACTGGCTTCCTGCGCCTTTTAGAAAAGACTGTAAAGTCCTTTTACTTGTTTGTGAAGTCTAACCTTTCATAGATCTGCAACTTCCAGCTACGGGTGAGAGATATTTTGCTTCCTGTCTTTTATTTCCAGTTAACTGGAAACCATTATTGAGGCCTGGTTCTAGAAAAAAAAAAAAGCCACACAGGTAGTTGAATGTTGATTTTATCCAAAAATGGCTACTGATCCATCCATTTTAATTGTCCTGAAAACTCCCTGAAAGCCTTCCGTCGATCCAAAATGCTGCTGTGAGAGTACTGACAGGGACTAGAAAGAGAGAACATATTTCTCACTATTGGCTTCTCTTCAGTCCAGAATCAAATTCAAAACCCTGCTCCTCACATACAAGGTCTTGAATAATCAGGCCCCATCTTATCTTCATTACCTTATAGTACCATATTATCCCATTAGAGCACTTCGCTCTCAGACCGCAGGCTTACTTTTTGTTCCTAGAGGATTTAAAAGTAGAATGGGAGGCAGAGCCTTCAGCCTTTTGGCCCCTTTTATGTGGAACCAGCTTCTAGTTTGAACTTAAAAGATGTCTCTACTTTTAAGGTTAGGCTTAAAACTTTCCTTTTTGCTAAAGCATATAGTTGGAGCTGGATCAGGAGGTCCTTAATCCTCCCTTAGTTATGCTGCAATACGTTATGCTGGGGGATTCCCATGATGCTCATGATGTATGACTCACTATGTGTTCATACACCTCTCTGCATGTAATTATTAGTTCTTATTAATCTCTGGCTCTCTTCCACAGCATGTCCTTTTCTTCTCTTCCTCCCCTCACCCCATCCAGTCGCAAGATAGGTGCCCCTCTCTGATCCTGGATCTGCCGGAGGCTTCTTCCTGTTAAAAGGGACTTTTCCTTCCTACTCTTGCCAAGTGCTGATTGTTGAGGTTTTCTCTCTATTAATGTGGAGTGTTTACCTTAAAATATAAAGTGCTTCGAGAAGACTGTTGGTGTGATTTGGTGCTATATAAATAAAGTTGAACCAAATTAAATTGAATCTGGATTTACGTCAGGGTGAGACTCTCTGCCTGTTTACTCTCCATAACTAGTCATCAGAGTTAAACTGCAACAGATACTTTTATGTAGCTGGTTGTGATGGTTGATGGAGAAACTGTCTCAAGGCCGAAAGAATTCACAGTAACTTAATAAATTACCGCACACACCCAGCATATGTCAATCTGTAGGACACATGTGTGAGTCTATGTAACTCCACCCTTTTGAAACGGTGGGCCTTTTACCTTCTAACCATCAGACTGTGAACAAACAGAAACCTCTAAGTTAAAAACACTCTGGTTAAGCCTTCAATTAACTGATTTTCACTGATTATAAAGGGATATTTCACAATCACTTGAATGTTTATTGTGTTACATTTGATGTTGTATTTTTACCTTTAAATGGAGGGCAATGGAAATACCACCATGGTGGGTGTGTAATTCTGTGAATAGGATTGATCTTTAATTGTATTTATAAGAAGCAAAACGATAATTAAATTGATGGGGTTTGTTAGTGTTATCGGCGCATCAGCAGCTGGAGGAGTATTGAAACGTCTGGTGTTGTGTAGTGCAAAACACAAAATAATGAGGCTGAAGGGACCCAAACAAACACTGTGATGCTGGGTGGACGGGGAGAGAACGACGCAGCCAGCTCTTAAATGCTCTGCGGAGACTGAACAGGTGCGCCCATTAGCGCTAATTAACCCCGCCCACTCTGAAAACTGCACAACAACACAGACGAGACGGAAGGAAATGTGACCAGAGGGCTGCCACATCACATAATTACTGTTATTAACACCATGTTACAACACCTGTAGCCTTGGCCCCTCCCATTTAAAACAAGCCAAAAGAAATTCATGCAGGTAAAAAATGGATGGATGCTCCCCAGTTTTTTAGTTAACCGTACTCTGATGCCTTAAACCTCCATTCTTTCTACTGGCCAGCGGGGGGCGACTTCTGGTTGCAAAAACACTTCCATTAGAATTCTAAGGAAAGACTGCTCTTGACCAACTTGATCTGTGATCTGAGTTACTTTATTTATATTTAGTTATTTGAAGCAGGGCTGCGATACATTTTCCATATATTTATTATCACAGTGGTTCATATAAAAATGACCAGAGTTTCAAATACTGAGGTGTAAGTGCAAGTAATCCCTGTAAGCCCAAAGCTCAGGCTCTAAACACTGATTAAAGAGACAGTGGAGGAACTGAAGGGCTCCAGCTTATTTTACGTGATTACTTTTTCTATCTTTGAATTGTGCAAAGCTGCTCTGTAGGTGTCCAAGAATGCAAATATGGGGGGTGCAAATAGGCACAGTAATTTATCCATTCAGCCATCCATCCACCCATGCATCAAAATGTTGTGGTTGCACAATATGATGTGAAATGCAAAGCTGGAACAGCTATATTTCAGTAGGTGACAACAGTTTGGTTAATGTTTTGATTTTTAGTGCACGGTTTATAACAGTTTTCCATAATAATAAGAAATCGATCCAGAATAAGATACATAGAAAGCATTAGTTGGATCTCAAACAGGTGCTTTATTTTTTGCAGTTTCACAAATTATTCATACAATAATTAGGAAATCTTGAATATAATATCTATCATAGTACTATTATATATTTCTGCTTTACACAGAGGGCTTTTTAAACCACTGAACCCACATAGGAAATAAAAGCTGTCCATACATTACAGCTTCAGTCCAGTCTTACAATGAAAGGTGCAATCGTACAGTCATCTGGTTTCTAGTGTCTCTGTGTGCGAGGTCCACTGCTCTGGATTGCATCCATGATGGACTGGACCATTTCAGATGTGGAGCCCTTACCTCCCAGATCAGCAGTGTGCAGCTGGAACACAAAGGAGATAACATATTTAGAGTAATGTCGAAATACAAAGCAGGACGTAACAATAAAAGTTGAATACCACCAACAAATTGCATGTAGCATTGGTCAAATCGTACCTGGGAATTGGTGATTGTAGAGAGGATGGCTTTGCGGATCATGCTGGCGTAGCCGTGGAGCTTAAGGTGATCCAGCAGGAGGCAGGAGGCCAGCAGCATGGCCGTGGGGTTTGCCGTGTTCCTGTTAGCGATGCTCTTCCCAGTATTCCTGGTGCCCTGTACAGAGAAGAGCACATTTAGAAAAGTGATACATCCATTTATACGTCCTTACAAAAATGAGATGTTACATCAGGGGAGGCTTGAGTGAGTGTACACTCACATGTGCGTATAGAGCTTGATTGGAAAAACAACAATTATGGTTTCGTTAAAAATTAAAGTGCTTAGATTACACAATAGGGAAAAATTCAAAAGAGGGAAGTTAACGCTGCACGTTCACATGAAAGAGGTGAAATAGAAAAGAAGGAAAGAACCAGACGACCAGAAGCAGGACTGGGATTCAGCTGCCGAGGGTGAGGTGAGGAGCACTCAGACCACCCAGCCATGGACGTGTGTTCATTAGGAGATGATGAACATCATACAGACCACAAAAAACTTGTCTGAAAACCGGACCAGTTCAGTGATTCCAGTTAGCGGAGGCGAGGCTAGCAGACAAATCACTGACGATACAGGAAGCTTAGCCAGTCAAAGTGGCCACACACACCCAACTCCAACATGATGGTGACTTTTTCTTCTTTTAGCTGGTGAGTTATAAATATTGATAGAGACCAAAACCTTTGTTGTACGAGGCTGTTAACATGACTATTGATGCTTTAACGGTGGGATTTTAACAGGGCAGTCCACAAAGATGACTCACTTTTGGAGAGAGCCTCAAGTGGACCCTAGAAAAACTGCAGCTAACCCCAGAGAGCCGCTAGAAAAACAAAGAACCCACAAGACATGTAGAGATCTCATTAACCCTGTCTCACCGTCTCAAACACAGCGTAGTTTTCTCCGTAGTTG